GGACAGTCAATCTCATAAGAAAATGCAAATGTAAAACCACATTAAGATGCCATTTTTATTTTATTGCAAAGATTTAAAAGTTAGATAACTATTAGTGAAGGTGTGAGGAAACATAAATATGTTCCTGATGGAAGAATAAATTAGCAAAAAGCTTACTTAAAAAAATCTGGCTTATTTGTCAAAATTCAAATGTTTATCTTGGCCGGATACAGTGGCTCACACCTGTAATCCCAGCACTTTGGGAGACTGAAGTAAGTGGATCACCTGAGGTCAGGAGTTCAAGACCAACCCAACCACCATCGTGAAACCCTATCTCTACTAAAAATATAAAAATTAGCCAGGTATGGTGGCACGGGCCTATAGTCCCAGCCACTTGGAAAGCTGAGGCAGGAGAATCGCTTGAATCTTGGAGGCAGAGGTTACACTGAGTCGAGATCATGCTACTGCACTCCATCCTGGGTGACAGAGCAAGACCCCATCTCAAAACAAAACAAAACTTCTGATGATGCTGGGAGGAAAAATGCATATCTTGATTCTTGTAGTTCAGTTTAAGGGAAGATGGTCACATATTTTCTGCATGTGAAAGTTATTCATGCCACTACATTAGTGTAGTGTGGGAAGTAAAATTTTTCAAAATAAAAAAAGGAGTTATTCATGCTAAGGGTATTAGTTTTAACATTATGATAGTGAAATATTGCGAACAATATAAATGTCTTTAATTAGGAGCTTTTGATAAAATATATTACAATTATGCAGTAGAGTTAAGGAAGCTCTGTGTACTGGCATGAAAGAGGTTCAAGGATATTGTATTAGATCAGGGGTTGGCAAATGTTTTCTTAAGTGCCAGGCAGTAAATGTTTCAGGCTTTTCCGGCAATGTGGTCTCTGTTGAGACTGCTCAGTGCTATTGTTGTAGGAATGCAGCCATAAACAATTCTTAAATGAATGGGTATGGCTGTGTTTCAGTAAAACTTCAATTACAATGACAGGTGACTGGCCTGCAAGCCATAGTTGCTGTACCTGTATTAAGTGAATGATGCAAAGTGAAGAACCTTGGTATGTAAACTATAGTAGAAGTAGGAATTAATTATTGAAAGCATAGAAAAGAGAGTTCAAGGAACTTTGCCTGGGATATGTAGGAAATATAGATGAAGTGGCAATTTAAATGATAAGGTAATTTTAGTTTCTGTGGGTAAAAGCTCCAAAGATTAACATGAGAAAGTCTTTTCTGGGATCAGTGAGAAGGTTGTCTGGCTGAAAGAGTTCTTTGTTGGGAGTTGATGAAGAGTTAAATTAGGATTATATATTTGAAGGTGCTAAACACTCCTGATTTATAGTATATTTCTATGATGAGTAAAAAAATTTGGGGCTGGGTATGGTGGCTCACGCTTGTAATCCCTGGACTTTGGGAGGCCAAGGTGGGTGGGTTGCTTGAGCCCAGGAGTTCAAGACCAGCCTGGGCAACACAGCAAAACCCCATCTCTTAAAAAGTATAAAAATTAGCCAGGTGTGGTGACACACACCTGTAGTCCCAGCCACTTGGGAGGCTGAGGCAGGAGGATCATCTGAGCCTGGGAAGCAGAGGCTGCAGTGAACCGAGGTAGCACTGTTGCACTCCAGTCTGGACAACAGAGCAAGACTGTCTCAAATTAAAAATAAAAAAAATAAAAAAAAAAAAAATTCAGTAGCTCTCTTAAGCCTTGATATTTTGCCCTATTTGCTTTAGATATTTTTTAATTTTTATTTTTTTATTGCCCCTGCAGAGCAGGGCTACCTCACAGCCAGTATGCTCAGGGTAGCTGTATTTTTTTAAATAAGCAATTTTATTTTTATTTTAAAACTTTTGATGTAATAAAAGATTATTAGTGAGATATTTTTCATTCCTTTTCTTTTTTTTTTTTTTTTGAGACGGAGTCTTGCTCTGTCACCCAGGCTGGAGTACAATGGCATGCTCTCAGCTCATGCAACCTCCACCTCCTGGGTTCAAGCAATTCTTCTGCCTCAGCCTCCCAACTAGCTGGGATTATAGGTGTGCACCACCACACCTGGCTAATTTTTGTATTTTTAAGTAGAGACTGGTTTCACCATATTGGTCAGGCTGGTCTCGAACCCCTAACCTCGTGATCTGCCCGCCTCAGCCTCTCAAAGTGCTGGGATTACAGGTATGAGCCACCACACCTGGCTTTGTTCCTTTTTATACTGTCTTTAAATTTGGTGTTTATTTTACACTTACAACATGTCTCAATTTGCACTAGCCACATCTTAAGTATTCAATAGCCACATGTAGTTAGTGGCTTTTACTGTACTGGAGAATTAATAACTTAGATTCAGAAACCACTGTAGGTATTTAAAAATTGTATTTACTTCTACCACTAGGGGTCAGCCAAGTGTCATAATGTTGACCCAACAAGATAGCATTTTGTGTTCGAGTTTTAAAATTTGCAACTATGCCCGGCGCAGTGGCTTATGCCTGCAATCTCAGCAATTTGGGAGGCCGAGGCGGGTGGATCACGAGGTCAGACACTCAAGACCAGCCTGGTCAACATAGTGAAACCATGTCTCTACTAAAAATAGAAAAAAAAAAAAAAAATAGCAGGGTATGGTGGCAGGTGCCTGTAATCCCACTGACTCAGGAGGCTGAGGCAGGAGAATCGCTTGGAACCTGGGAGGCAGAGGTTGCAGTGAGCTGAGATCACGCCATTGTACCCCAGCCTGGGCAACAGTGCGAGACTCCATCTCAAAAATTTACAACTGCAGTGCAAAGATCGTTCTGTGTGCAACAAAGGAAACCCTGTCAAGAACAATATTTACTGCTGGTGAAATAGCTGTAGCAGAACGGGTGATGGAAATGTGATCCATGGCCTCTTTAGACACATGGGATCTATGTCTGTCCTTACAGATGTATCCTTTTCCATGCCTGTTTGTCTTGAATAAACTGTTGAAACTTTTCCTCCTGTTATTAGGGAGGTCATATTTATAATAAATGTATAGCTTCTCCATATTGGGACCTTATTAACTAGGTAAACTTGTTGGCTTGCTTATTTTCGCAAAGAATCTCAAGTAGGCACCATTTGATTATGGAGCCACATATCCTGTGTCTCTATTCCAATATGCTTTTAAAAATTTTTCAGCCTGGTTTAAGGTTATCTCACCATTAAGGTCTGCATTAGATTTATATTTCTTGTTCTCCACAGAAACGGCCTCATAGAAATGCCCTAGACTTCATACAGATTCATAGCAGAAATGCCCATTTAGAGTGCCTTAGTTTCATACACATCATAGTTAGAGGAACTTTTCATTATGCTGCTAATATCCCTTGTATAAAAACCCAATGAAGAAAATCTAGCCAAGAACAAAGATTTAGGGAAAAATTCTCTCCATCTTAGCCAGTAATTGCATAGTTCTTAATCTTTTTTTTTTTTTTGTTCTAGAGTGTTTGCTTTGATGCATTTCCTATATGTCCACTGAAATCCTCTTTGTCATAATAAAATCCTCTGTCATTGATAAAAGCAGTCATTAAGTTAACTTTCCGTAAGTTACCAAAATAATTGTTAACATTGGCACAGCTCTCCCTTCAGGTTAGCATAATTTCTAACTTCTACATGATAATATTTTACTGGGGTCATCAGCCATTTGGAAATTGATTGCTAGCTATTTTTATATAAATATTTAAATACTCTATAAATTTGCTTCCAAATGCTTTTCTTTCTGTAGCATGACTTTGATCAGATAATTTAAAAAAAAAATTCAAAGCTGAGAACAGCCACTTGCTGGAGTAGAGGTGGAAATACATGTTATGATGGGCAGATGGGAACTGAGAAAAGAAAGGTAATTCTCAAGAGTAGGGGTTTTAGTGGGTCTGGTAGAGAGTGAGAAATGAGAGTGAGTTAGGTCTGAGTAGAGTGCGGAAATGGCAGGTCCCTTATGTAAGGAATTGCAGAGTCCTAGAGCTATGAGTTTACAAAAGCCCCAGAGTGTTTGATCTTTTTTATTTTGAAGTAGGATATGCAAAGGTTATATGGCTACTAGTAAAGTGCCCTGTTGCTGCTTAGAGCATGACAGATTTAAAAACCATGTAGTTAAAAGATAAAAGAGAATTAGTAAAAGTAGACTTGGATATTGGATTTGATTTGTGAACCAAATTTAGGAAATACAGTAGTGAAATTTATTTTTACTTGACATATTAGCTGATTATATACATTTCCCCTTTGGCTTTTTATAAGACTACAATTTTAGTTTCCTCAGGATTATATTGATTTGCCAAAATTCCTGAGAAAAGGCCTTGCTTTGGTAAAGGTTTAGTGGTTTGAAAGTGGAATAATGGCTCTTACAGTGAAGAAAATATGTAATGGCAGTGTGATGCTAGTAGGTAGAGATCAGTTTGGTTGTGAACCTCTGGTTTGATGTAATATATTTGCCATCATGTATGCTTAATTAGAGGGCTGTTTCCCATTTCCCCATGAAAATATTCCCTCCCCCAAATTCTTTTGTCAACTAAAATATTTAAGGATTTAGAGATATACCTGACACATTAAACTCTACATCTGTTTAATCTAACATAAACAATTGGGTTACATATAAAGTTTAGAAATAAAGTTATGTTGTATTTATTGTCCCATATGATGAACTATTTTTTTTTCAAACTCGTCATATTTAATTGGGATCCCTTTGGAATAATTTGTCTTTCTAAGATAGTTGTTCAGGGTGACAGCTGTTAGGAATATGAATGACTTTATAAGTCTTCAGATTTAAGAGTACTCCTTTTTTCTGAAAAATAATTTTTGAGGGCTAAAACCCTCATCTGATATCTGAACATACATAATAATTCCTTATACCTCTTATTTTTGACATTTAGAAGTATTTCCTGATTGTAAGAAGTCAGAGTCTTAGTGAGCTTATTCTTATTGAGTAAATGAGTAAGTTTTTAGCTGTTAATGTGGATTTTGTCTTTTTCTTTTTTTTCTTTGAGGGGTTGGACATAATTGCCTTATTTCATTTCAGGGATCCTTCTAAAGTAAATATTCTGGTACCTGGTGCTGGACTAGGAAGACTGGCCTGGGAAATAGCTATGCTAGGTTATGCTTGTCAAGGAAATGAATGGAGTTTTTTTATGCTCTTTTCTTCCAACTTTGTACTCAACAGGTATTTAATTTATTTTTTGCTGGAAATAGTAATTTCTCAGAATCAGATTGACTTACCTATTTTCTTGAACAATTTTGAATTTGAAGATAAGTACATAGTATTGATTATGATATATGTCACAAGTGTTTCTTATGTTGAAATTAAAGTACTTATACGGATTATCACTTGAACCAATTGCCTAGTTATCAGAATGTTGAAACAGGTTGGGTAAGTGACTTTCTAGAAAGTGATTGGACATTCCATGAAATGATTTCTGTACAAAATCTTCAGGACTAAGTATGAACCAGGAAGGAGTATTTAAGTGGCCAAGTATGCTCTCATGACTGAGTTGGAAAGATCTCTCAGAACTTCTATGGCCTCTTTTGGAAGGCAGTGGAAGACAGTTGTTGTTTTTAAAGCCAGAAGATGTACATTGAGTAGCTGCCTTATTTAAAGAATACATTGTCTCGGTTGGCAGTGTGAGTTTTAGGGGGTTAGTGAAAAAGAGAAAAAGAAGAGGGTTATTAAAAAAAAAAAAAAAAAGATAGCAAACTGTTTTAGTTGAAACCAGTACCATTTAAAAAAAAACTAGCTGGATTGTTTTACTTGGTTTTGAAGTTTAGAAATAAATTTCTAAAACTTTGAATGAACAGTACATTTATATCTCTGAATTTACTTTTTTTTCTGTCTTTAATCCATGATTGGTTGCTCATCTACATGTATATGTACATTTTCAGATAATTAGGGAAGCTGTTGCAGTGACTTTTTAAATAATAGTGAATTACATCTGTAAATCTTCAATTAAGCAGAATATTTTAGTATTTAAAGTGGATTTTCTTGGTAAAAATATTTAGTTAACACCTGATTTTATGCTCATATTTTGCAGATGTTCTGAAATTAATAAATATAAACTTTATCCTTGGATCCATCAGTTTAGCAATAACCGGAGATCAGCTGATCAAATTCGACCCATCTTTTTCCCTGATGTTGACCCCCACAGTCTTCCTCCTGGTTCTAACTTTTCTATGACAGCAGGAGATTTTCAGGAGATTTATTCAGAATGCAGTAAGTTCAAATTAAGCATTTAGAAAGTCTTGTCCTTTATTCTAAATTTATGAGCTAGTTTTATCCTAAGCCAAGGTTTAGATCACTCATTTTGATGGTAGAACATAAGGCATACGTCAGTGTCAATTTAGAGGTTTTCAAGGTCATATACAAGGCATCGATAAGAAATAAAAAGAAGTGTAAGATATCTATAGTCCAGAAATTTAGAATCTGTTGGGCCCATTAATACTAAAAGATATGATGTAAACAGTTTAAATGAGTAATGAATGCTAAAAAAAAGAAAGGTCATTAGTGTGAGAAGGAAGCTGTTCAGAGTGAGGCTATGACTTGAAGGTTGAGAGAATAGCATTTGAGGCAGACAGAAATACAAAGATATGAATAAGATGATTGGGGATGGCAACACGGCTGTACTGGCAAGGAAAGAAAAGCTTTAATGAAAGATTTAATGGGATTTAATGGGAGATATTGCTAGAAAAGTAAATTTGTTCCAGATCATGGAGAACTTTTATAGTCAGGCTGTGCATTGACTTCTGCCTGGCAAACTGTTGAAGAAATCTGAGCTGGGGATGACAGAAAGGGAGATGGTAATGGGGAAAGAGGAGAAGGAGATTGGCAGTAAAAGGAAAAAAAATAGAATACTGAGAGTTCAGCAAAATCATTCAGTCAGTAGGTACTTGTTGAGTACCTACTAAGTACCAGGTATGTTCTAGGTGTCAAAGAGAACAGGGAACAAAACAAAGTCCCTGTTCATGGAGAACTTCTATTCTAGTAGAGAAAGTGAGGCAATAACAAATATAATATTGTGACAAAGAAAACTTAGGCAGGGAAGAGGGGTTACAGAATGACTGGGCAGGGGCTGCTGCTTTTTATAGAGTTGTCAGGGAAAGCCTTTCTAAGAGCAGAAACTAAAAAAAAAAAAAAATCTAGCAGAGAACCTTGAAAGAGTACAGAGGCAAACCATTGAGCTCTTTGAAGGGAAAATGTTGCAGATGGGGAATGGCAAGGAAGGAGGGTTAGGGAGTAGAGAGCGTGATTGCTCTGCTCAAGGAGGAGCCGGGCTATAGTAAGCAGTGGGTACAGTGGTGGGAAGTCAGCCTCGAGAGGGTTTGATGAGGCAAACTTGTAGGCAGCCCACAGTAAGGACTTGGAATTGTACTCAGGATGCCATTGGATGGCTTGAAGCAGGAGTAGCAACAACATAGATTGTTTTTATTTATTTATTTAACCACATGGAAAGCTATTATTTTTCCCTGAACTATGAGATTGGGACAACCTGTATTCTGAAGGAAGAAATGGAGAGTTGAAAGATGTAAGATGTTGGGGATAAGGAATGAAATAATGGAAAACACCACTTAGGCAAGTAAAAGTCCCCTTTTTCTGGAGCAGGGCTTGAGAGAACAGATGATAAAGGTAATCCTCCATGGGATCAAGTGCCTTTATTGCACCAGGATTTATACAGACACCATACCTCCAAGAGACAAATGGTGTTCTCTACTGGATTTTCACCCATTGCCTCTACCTGCCCTTGGCTCCCCTTTTCCCCTAGTAATTATTTGCAGTTGTAGTAGATCTTGAGGTATTTGGATGTCATTCATTTCTCAGTTGGCAACTGGTGCCTACGGTCTTTCTGCAACCTGCCAGACTTAGTGGTTAACACTAGTGTAAATTGGAATGACTATTATTTTGTTTTAAGTGATTTTAAATGAAGCCTACAATTTGAATAGAGAATAAACAAAACTCTTACAAATATAATTTGGTAATAATATGTTGAGATTAGATTATAATGTCAGTGTTATTGGGGATGGTTTCCAAATTGATTACTTAATCAGATTATTGATATCAGTTTTTCCCATAAGTGATTATTAGGTTACCATGATTATAGTGTTGATCAGAAGTTTAGCTTCTGTATTTCTGTCAAATATTAATACTTTGTAAAAGGTAACCGGGAACTTTAAAGGATTAATTAAAAGAAAAAAGCAAAGTAACAGATGCGGTAATTTAATTTTTCTCGATTAGATACCTGGGACTGTATTGCTACCTGTTTCTTCATAGACACAGCTCACAATGTAATTGATTATATTGATACAATATGGAAAATACTCAAGCCAGGTGGAATTTGGATAAATCTAGGTAAGTTTTTTAGTATTTACTAAAATTTTATATGTTAATCTGAATACTTACAGCTATTTTATATTTAACTTACAGTCTCAGATGTTCATGAATATTAGAATTATGTTGTAAATGTTTTAAAACCTCTACAGTTTCCTTTAGACTGCATCCTGGTGGTGATGCCTCCAAAGGCAGTGGAAGCTTAACAAGTTGTATATTCATACTTACGTCAGTCTCACAGTCCTTGTAATTTCAGTGTATACTAATTGTTGATCTGATGGTGGGTAATCATTTCCTCATTATCTCCATCCCACATGCTGAGACAGTGCTCCCTTCTGTTAGGAAGAGAGCGGTCTCTTTTTTGTTCTATAATGAACCATAAGAGAAGGATTTTACGTTTCCCGTGGAATCTTCCTCCTCATTACATCCATATTCTGCTTAGTACTCGATGCTAGAAATTTCTTTATTATCCTGGGTTAATTTGTAAGTTAGCATTAACATCCTATGTTTATGTGATTAAATTTTTTGACCCCCATTACTGAGTTATGGTAAGGTTTTATGTATTTCCAGAGTATGTGACTTAACTTTCATAGAAACAGCTTTATTTTAAACATTTGTTTTATTGGTTTATGCATATTTTATTGAGTTATGTAATACAATAGTTGTCACTACCTGAAGCAAATAAGGTTGGCTCCTAATAAGTATACTGTTTGATAAGAGTAGATGTACTAAAGTGTGACTTATGATCTGTCATGAGCATCAGAAGTAATGGAGAACATTGGTTAACAGGAAGTCAATTAGGAGAGCTAATTCCACTATGGAGTTTCAAAACAATTTTGAAAATTGTAATAGGGAGAAACACAGTCCTTAAAAATAGTTATTTGGAAGGTTAATACTTTATAAAATGTTAACTTATACATCTTTTGCATGTATAAGTTAAAGAATGTAAAAAAAAAAAAATCTCAGTTTTCTTTTAAATATTGGCGTGTTTTGAGCATCTGTTCAGTGTTTTTCATTTTTTATGCCATGTACTCATTTTTGACTCCATATTCCTCCTACCTGATTTCATGGCTTTTCCTACTCTTTCAATTCCCAAGCTATATCTCTGGTCAAACATCTTTCTTGTGCTCTAGGCCAGTATGTCTAACTTGGATGTACCACAGATACTTCAAAATCTTTGTGTCTCAAGACCAGCCTGGGCAACATGCTGAGACTCCATCTCAAAAGAAAAACCAGAACAAAACAGAAACCAATTCCATGCCACCCAGTATCTTTTCTATTCATTGTCTGCTCAGATTCCCCCAAACAAAAATACTGGGAATCTTTCATTACCCCTTTTATTAGTTCACTCAGGCTGCCATAACAATACCACAGATTGGGTGGCTTAAATAACAGAAGTTTATTTTCTCACAGTTCTGAAGACTGGAATTCCAGGTGCCCACCAGGTTGGTGTCTAGTGAGGGCTCTTCCTTTGAGTTGCAGGGTGCTACCCTCTTGCTGTCTATTCACATAGCCTTTCTTTGGTTGTGCATAAGGGGAGAAAGAGTGAATGAGTGCATGAGTGAGCTCCTTGGTATCTTTTCTTATAAGGATACTAATCCTATTGGATGAGGACCCCACCCCTAAGACCTCATTTACCTTAATTACCTCCTTGGAAGTCCTACCTTCAAATACAGCCTCACTGATGATTAGGGCTTTAACATATGAATTTGGAGGCAGAGGAATATGAACTGTCAATAGGACCCTCTTTTTTCTCACTGTTTGTCTCTAGTCAGTCTAAAAGTTATGTCTCCTAAAGCTACTTAATCGCTCTTGAGTATCTCTTGCCGGGTTTCTCAACTGTGGTATTGATGTTTGAGCTGGATCACTGTTCAGTGGGAGTAGTGAGGGAAGTGGGGGTCTGGCCTGTACATTGTAGGATGGTTAACAGCCTTCCTGGCCTCTAAGAATCCCGTAGTATCTCCCAGTTTTGACAATCAAAATGTCTTTAGATATTGAAACATGTTGCCCTCTGGGGGGTGGAGGGCGTTGGCATAGTTATCCCCGGTTCAAAACCATTGCTCTAATATCATGGTTTCTTGTCTGGATTAGCATTAGGATTACTGTAGTAGTTTCCTTAAGGATGTTCCCACCTTCAAGTTGTCTTCAGCCTTTTTCATTTCTCCACATAATCACCAGTGACCTTCCTAACATGCAAATCCGTTCCTGTAGGACTCCCTGCATGAAATTCTAGCTATCTGGAAAACCTAAACTCTTCAGGAATTATGTACAATGCCCTTATAATCTTTCTTCTGTTTTGTGTCTCAACTTCTTGTTTGTTTGTTTTTTTGTTTTTTACCACCCCTTCTCCAACATCAAGTGCCAGTCCTCTGACTTAGCCCTTTCTCTTTCTCTTCCGTTTTCCCTTGGCTAGTCCCT